ACTGGGGGCGGCTGCAGCAGCAGCAGGGGCCAGCCCATACTCCCCAGGGGCTGAGAAGACACCTGGAACTGGTAAAGCTGAGGAGACCCTGTGGTGACTTCTGGTGATTACAGGAGTTGGGGGAAGTCAAGGGTAAAGCACATCTGAAGGGTGAGCACCAGGCCTTCAGAGGACTGAGGGAGGGTGGGAGCGTCCCAGGCCCGCCTGCCACCACATCCCCACCCTCTGTGACCATCACTTCCTTCATCGATCTGGCTTCTTCTTTTCCAGCCTTGCAAAAGGCCTCTCTGTGGTCAGTGCCCAAATGGCCCTGCCAGAGGCCTCCAGCCCCCACACTGAGAAGTGAGGTCCTCACTTGGCTGGCGCCTCCTTTCTCCCCCGTCACCTCCCAGGCCTGCTACTCCTTTGACATCCCCACCCTCTGTGACCATCACTTCCTTCATCGATCTGGCTTCTTCTTTTCCAGCCTTGCAAAAGGCCTCTCTGTGGTCAGTGCCCAAATGGCCCTGCCAGAGGCCTCCAGCCCCCACACTGAGAAGTGAGGTCCTCACTTGGCTGGCGCCTCCTTTCTCCCCCGTCACCTCCCAGGCCTGCTACTCCTTTGACATCTCTCTCTCTCTGCCTGTCCCTTTGCTCCCACCCTGACCCTTTCCCAGTTCTCTTTTTCTCTCTCTCTCCTCTTTCTGGTTTTCTGAGTGTCACCCAGTCTCTCTCTGCCTCTCACCCCAGGGAAAGAGGCTGCCTGGGACCAGAGGAATAGCAGGCATGAGTCTCCCCAGTAACGTTTCAGAGCGGACTCTCAGAGAGGACAAAGTGGGAGACATTGGAGGTCGTGTGTCCTTTGCCCCCAGCTCTAGCACTAGGAGCCCCCAGCTACTCATGTTCTCTCCTTGCCTGGCAGGGCCTCCCCTGCTGTCCCTTCACTCCAGGCCTCCCTCGGTGCATGGCCTTTCTGGGGTTCAGAGATGAAGGTGGCCTGACAGTCCTACCTACCCAGACAGCAGGCCTTCTGCAGACCCACCGTGAGCCCTGAACATGAGACTGGATCTGCAGGGTCCTGTCTGTCCTCACCATCCTGCAGAGGAGGAGACCAAGGCTCAGAGAAGCTGGGCGCAGGTGACTCCTGGGTGTCAGGTCTGTCAGGTCCAGGATTGCAACTCCAGCCCTGCTGGGTCCATTGAGGTCCCCCTATCGTAGTTGCTTCAGCCTGGCTGTGGGGCAGAATCTCTGGGCCTCAGGACCAGCAGCTGGCGTGGTAGTAAAGGGCTCTGGACTCCCATGTGACCAATGGCAGTTCGAGTCCCAGAACCCGGCATCTTGCTTTCTCATTTTCCCTCTCTCTCTCTCACTCTGTCCCTCTCTGGTCAAACTGAAATAAATAAATAAATAAAGTTAAATAAAAAAATAACTCTTTAAAAATATCTCTGGGCCTCAACTTTCAAGAACCAAAGCTCTTCAGAGGGTGGGCCCCAGGAGGCTATATCTTCATAAAGCTCTTAAGTGACTCCATGCACAGCTGAGTCCCCTGTCTAATCTAGAAGTGTCCTTGGGCAGAGGGGGAAATGGAGGATAAGAGCCACAGTGGTCACCTGCCTGACACAGAGGACTGTCAGCCTGGGACAGGTGTGGGCAGGTAAGAAGCTGGAGGCAGGGAGCTTTGGTGACACACTGGGCTGACTCCACAGGAGTGTGACATGGTCTTGCTAAGGAGACTGAGGGGACAGGAAGACATGATTTCACCAGAGGAAGTGGCTTCAGTTTTGCTGAGGTGGAAGCAGGCAGAGGCGGACTTCCCTTCTTTTCTCAGTTTCTTCCGTAATTCTCATGGTGACGTTCCTGCTTGTCACTGGGTCTGCTTTTCCTACGGCTCCTCACAGCTCCCACGTGTTCATGGAGTCTCTTCCCCTGAGCCGAATCCTAAAAACAACCTTTCTTCATCTTTAGCTTCACAACCTTCTCTGGTGGACTGCGTGTTATCTCCAGTTCATTTTGGAGAAACTGAGGCTTGGGGCCTTTGGGCTGAAGTGGTCTCTGCT